AATTTTTCTGTTATGTGCATCTTACCATAATTAAAAATAATAAATAAAAATATGTGTTAAAACATTTATTTGTTCAATCCTGCTTCACTTATTAAACTGTGAACTCCATAAAAGCAGGGGGCTCTGTGTGGTGCACCTACTGTGTGCTGCCAGCCACCGAGGACATGGAGGACAAGACAGACTAGGTGCCCAGCCACCTGAGGCTCACAGCCTGGGGGAGAGAAGGAAGACACCTAACACACAAGTAAACAAAGTTATCACCTATCGAGCGCTGTGTGGAAATTAGAACAGTGAAAGGTAACAGTGGCTTCACCAGGGAGATGTCTGCTGGGGCGGTCAGGCAAACCATCCCAGAGGAGATGACACTTATGCTAAGACCCACGAAACAAGAGTCAGTCATCAATCACCTGGGAGGCCAGAACTTCAGACAGAGGAAACAGCAGGTGCAAAGGCCCTGCGGTGACCACGAGCCTGGTGTGCTGGAGAAACAACAGAGAGAGGAAGTAGGGGAAGTGGGGTGGAAAGGAAAGGAGGAGGACCCAGGACAGGGAGAGAGGGTGGAGGGCATTCTTGGTGGCAGGGGAGTCCCTGGTGCGTCACCGACCTCTTCTTCCACAGCAGGTGAGCTTCCGTGAATGGCGGTCTCTAAGCGCCCAGCTCTGCACTGAGTGTCTTTTGTTGGTTAGTGAGAGGCTGCTCACAGCAGTTCTGGGGCAGGCACGGTCATTATCCCATGGTAACAGGAGGAAATAGGCTCGGACGAGTTGGAGGGTCTGGGACTAGAGTCAACACCAAGCAGTGGGACAGGGAGTCTCACGCACCCGTGCTGCCTGCCCCTCCCCTGCCCCTCGGGGACAGGTCTGAGGAGGCTCTTCTCCTCTCACCTGGATGCACTGCCGCCCCCCTCCCTCTGCCTCAAGTCCCAGGGCCTCCTACAGGTTGCCAGGTCACTGGCTGATCACTGCCCAGCAGTTTCTGTTTCTCCTTTTACTGTCTCCCACAAGTAAGCCAAGGAAAGAGACCCCACGCCCTCTGCCTCACCTAGCTAGGGACAGGTTCTGAAAGACAGGGAGAAAGAAGCCCATCTCTGGCTCCACAATAGCCTGTTTCTGATGCCCCTCTGTGGTCCTTGCCCTTGGAGAACCCCATCTTAAGGGGAGGGCGTCAGGAACCCCATGAAGCTTGCCAGGCTGGATGGCAGCCTGGTAGTCAATGAAGATGCCCCCAGAGGCCAGGGGCAGCAGCACCTTCAGGCCTGAGGCGGCTGGCTTCCCTAGACATCCACACCGCCCCAAACCCTGACCTGTGGTGCGCCTGAAGGGAGCAAGACCCCAGCGAGGGCTGGGCCTTCCACCAGCTGGGAGGTGCAGCACAGACAAGGAGGCAGTTCCGCCCTCACAGCTCTGCAGCCTAAAATCGAAGTGGAAGGGTCTTCCACCCATGGCCAGTTGCGTCAAATTTTTATTTTGAACGCTGCCCAAAATAAAAATGCAGAGCCTCTCATTCAAAAAGCAAGGGAAAGGACCCAGTGTAAAAGGCACAAAACATAAAAGTAAATACATATAAACCTTTGCTGTGTAGTCTACCTCTCAGTTTTTCACAGTTTTTTATTTGCTGCTTAATGTCATTCTAAGTAAAGAAGAGTTAAACATTTAAATAAGTAGTATGAATTGTACCATTTGAATATGTGGCATGATGCCGGTTTAAATGTGAGTATACGGGCATTTCACTCGTATTCAGAATCACCAAAATTTTACAATTTGTGCTTTGTGGCTTGTGCGTGCACATGCATTTCATTCTTACTCCTGAAAGGTGGCGAAACCACACGAGCTAACTCAGCTCTTTTTATTTCACTTCTGGATTAGCACACATCCCAGCCACAGCCTCTCTACTTTCATCGGAAAGGAAAGGACGGTGCGTGACTCTGTTTTCCCCATGCTCCGTCTTCATGGTCAGCATACGGGGTTGCTTACCCAGGGAACTAATATGCAGGTAGGAGAGTGGCAAAGAAAGGGGGTGGGAGAACCTGAGGGGGGCATGGTGCTGCAGCCTGGCTGCTCCCCATGGAGGAGCCGTGAGAGAGGAGGGCGTGCAAGTGGCAGTTCACACCACGCAGGCCCTGAGTTCCCTCCTTAGTCCACTGTGACCATGCCACCCCTGCCTAGAACTTTCTGTGGCTCCCCAGTGCCCTCAGAATGAAACCCACAGCCTTATCCCTGAGCCCAAAAGCCCCGCCTCCCCTCCACTTGCTGCCCCGAGTTGCTCTGCTCTAGCCATAGCCCTGTCCTCCCCTGAGCTTCTGCCGGTCCTTCCCTCTCCCTTGAATCCTCTTCCCCACCACGCCCCTTCTTCTGGCTAATCCTCTGGGTCCAGGCATGAATACCACTTCCTCTAAGAAGGCTTCCCTCACTTCCCAGGCTGGGTCAGGCAGGCACCTCCTCTGAACTGTCACAGCGCCTGTGCACCCCATCACCACTTGACGACTCGTCCTCCTCCCTCACTGCAGATGGGCTCTGCAGGGCAAGGACTGGCTTCCATTCAGGTAGCAGCCCCAGACCCCATCTCATAATATGTGCTCAATAACGGTCGTTGAAGGCACACACAGGTCACAGGCAGCGGGAGTCCGGGTGAGCTGTCTATTGTCTCTCAGATCAGGCAGCCAGGCCAGGGAGGAGGGGCTAACGGGCGTGACGCTCCATTCCAGGCCCAGATGGCACTTCACACTCCTGACCTCATTTGTACTCCCATCCAGCCCAGGAAGGAGGTGTCCTTGTACCTGATACACAGACAAGGAGGCAGAGCGTGGGACTCCTCCTCTTTACTTAAACTCACCCCCCCGTCCCCCCCCACACACACACAAACCCCGCCACCACACAAATCCAGGCCCCAGCCAGGGTGACCAGCCCAATGGCCTCTCCGCCAGGCCAGTCCAGATGTCCTCTTTCCTTGGCCAGTACAAGAGAGAACTCACTCCAGCTGGGGCTTGTCCCATCCTTTCTCCCTCCCCCTCTTCCTCCCCTCCCCACTTCCTTCCTTCCTGCTCTTGGATATTCCCTTTGCAGGAAAGGCCCAAGGTTCCAGGGCAAGGCCCCCAGGTCCAGCCAGGCCAGGACACATGCTTCCTCCATCATCTAGCCCCTCTGCCCTCCCTGGGGGCCGGAAATCTGATCCAGGCCTAGGGAACTCGGGAGTACTACACAAGGGACAGCCCAAGGTCACCTTGTCCCTCCCTCTGCCTCCAGCCCTAGCATAGGCAGAGGAGCTCTGGAGCTCATCCTGGAGGCCTAGAGTAGACACTGGTAGGGGCTTTGTCTCCCTGCCTATGAGCTGGTCATTACTGAGAGCCTCTTCAGGAAGGCCCCGAGCTGGGTGTTTTACCTGTCGACCTCATGTAACAGCCTTTGGATGCCAGGTGCTGAGGAGCCACTTTGCACAGCGCCTGACACAACGTGAGCGCTCAGCTAACAGTGCCTGTGATCACTGTTATGTTCCCCATCATCATCATCTTCATCAGAATTAAACCTCACAATTATCCTGGGAAGTAGACAGAGTTTTTATCCTCAATTTATAAGTGAGGAAACAGATTTAGAAGGAAGGAAGGGACTTGCCCAGCTTCTGTAGCAAGTATCAGAACTGAGCACAAACCCAGACCAGACCAGTACTCGCCATAATCTCATGGTTCTGCCAGCCACCCATCCACTCCCAGTGATCCTGGAGTAATTCTTTGCCTGCTGTGTGCCTCCGTTTCCCCATCCATACAATGAAGAGGAGTATGGAGGAGGCATCTCCAGGTTTACTCCTGTAAGTTGAAAGGAACTTACTAATTAACTGAGCAGAGGCTTGCTAGTACTGTCCTGGCAGCAGGCCAGAGATAGCACAAGATCACAGATCTGATCCTGGATGGTCCTACAGGCCAAGGTCACCCAAAGCCAGAAGACAGACCTAGATTTCTCCTGCTGTAGCCCCATCCACTTCTCCAATTCAGAGGAGAGGAAACCTCACACTGTGGGAGGGGGAGAGGGTGCATGCACCTCCCAGGACTGCTGAAGATTGGGAAACAGGCCCAGGAAGATGGGGAGAGGACTTAGGGCTGGCATGTGGGCAGTCAGTAATGGTGTCATTGAGGATAATACCTCATACTACTACCACCACCTCCCCCACATATCCCCTTCTGCAGGCAGCACACAGGGATAAAAGCCCAAATTGCTAAATCCTCGAGTCGAGATACATTTCTTGGTGGACTCAATGCTCCCACCTACCACTCTGTCCCTGCAGTCCCTCCCCGGGGGCTCTCAGCCCCAAGCTCCCTAATGTTCTCCCTTCATCCCAGTTTCCAGTCCCTCTGCCTAGCCCCCAGAGAGGGGCCTGGATTGCCAGCAACCCCAACGCTCCACCCACCTCCCCTCTGCTCTCCAGCCCAAAGACAAATCCAACAAATTAGAACCCTGGGAGAGGAAGGGAAAGAACACACCATCCTGTGCCGAGCTGCGAAGCTCCGTGGCCACCAGAGGGCGCGCGCCCCTTCTCAGAGCCTAAACCACGACGGCGGCGGCTGGCCCGGAGGGGCTAGCAGAGAATGCAGGGTGGGGTGTGGTCATTCCCGCAATACTCCCCAGAAATGCAACGACGCCCTGGACGACAGACTCAGGCTCCGTAAGACAAGGGCCTCAAACGCAGCCCCTCGACCTCCACCGCGGCCGCGCCCCGCGCTTGTCTTCGGCTGACCGTCTGCTCGCCCCCTCCTGGCCGCCGAGAGCACTGCGGCCTGGCGGAGCTCCCGCGGGGAGGCTGGGAGAGTAAGGGCGTACTGTGTACTGAGCAGGACGAGTTTGAAGAGGTTATTAGCACTGGGTGAACAGTGGTACTGGGAAGGTACTGGGGACCACACTGGATGTGTAGGTGCTAGTGGATAATAGGAGGGCACTAAGGGACACCAGGCAGATACTGGAGGCAGAGGGTGGTCCGTGCATGATATTTAGGGGTACCAAGCCTCAGCTGGATGGAAGCAGGGCACCGGATGCCCACTAGGTGGTAACTGGGAGGACTGAGTGGACATGTGGAAGTACTAAGATGGCATAGGGGGACACTGGATAACAACTGGAGACACCAAGCGGGTACTTGGAAGCACTGGGAGGCACTGGGAAGCTATTGGGTGAGTACCAGAGTGACTGGGTGAGAACTAAGGGTGGAGGCGGCAGAGAACGTCATTGAGCCCGTGGTGAGAGGCACTGAGTTTGGGAAAATGGCATTACTGGGAAGGTAAAGGGATGCTGGGGCAGTTCTTGTCAGGTACTGGGGCCATGGGCATTGTCGGTGGGAAGTGTGTATACTGGCAGACATGCGGTGGGTACGGGAAGGCACTAGGCTTGCTCGATACCCTGGACGGACCGGAATGGCATTCCCCTGGAAATGCCTCAGTGCGTGCGCGCGCGCGCACACACACACACACACACACACACACATGCACGCACCAGCCCCGCACACCTGGATCGTCGTGCCGCTTTCACAGCCAGGACATTAGAGATGTCCCTTGGCCAGTGAGGGTCTCCTGCCCTGACCAGGACCTGTTCCTGATTTCCTGGCCGGAAATGGAAGGGAGCGCTGCAGGTGGGCAGAGGACAGAACCCTCACATTGTTTACTTCCCCCAGTTAGAGAAGGAAGTAAAGGCAAGTCAGCTCCTCATCTCTAGAAAAATAAGGAGCCCCCTCCTCGGTCCCTCCCACCAGGCTTTGGCCTCCTAGCCCAGCTTGCTGGCTGCTGGGCCCTGGAGGGGCTGCCAGGCTCGGCCTCCTGCCCACTGCGGGGCGCCGGGGGAGGGCGGCTCGCGGCTCGAGATGCCGCGTTGTCATGGAGACGCTGCCGCATCCTGACTGCTCCTGGCAACGGGGTCCCGCAGCCAGGCAGGCGCTCCGCGGAGACCCCACGGAGCGGGCGCGCCAGGCTGCCCACGGCGCCGCCAGGCCCCCGAGACACAGATATCACTCCCCCACCCACAGACACCCCTCACTCATGCTCCCACGGCACACACATACACGCAGGCGTCCCAGCTGCAGCAACCCAGGTGGAACCGCAGCTCCAGCTCGCCCTGCAGCCCCCACTCATTAATTCAGCAAACATTTGCCGACAGTCTCAGTGCCAGGCTCGAGCTGGCCACTGCGGCTGCAGGGACAAGTCACACAGGGACATAGCACCGCCGGCTGCACCCCGCCCTCCCCCCCCCAATCTCACAGCCCACACAAGAGGCAGACACAGAAACAGTGAAATCAATATTGTGACCCCAACAACAACCAGCCGCTGACTGTGGGCTGTGCCCTCCTCATGCAGGGTCTCACCCAAACCTTTCTGCAGGTGAGGAAACTAAGACACAAGAGAGCTCATTTATTCACCTGAAACTACATAGTAAGAGACGGAGCTAGCCTTCTAACTTGAAGCTTAACCATTTCCCCACTCCAACCCTGCTGCGCGTGTTTCCAGAACAGAGAAGAGGAGGACCCAAGTCCCCTGGGGAGGTGGCAGCGAGAATTTCCAACTCCAGCTTGGGGCCTGGGAGAAAATGCAAGTCTGCCAGGCAGAGCAAGGGGAGGCATCCGTAGCTCAAAGGACAGCCTGTGCAAAGACCTGGAGAATTTAGACTGGCAGGCTGGATGTGAAGGAGAGCAGAGGTGGATGGAGCTAGAAAGCGCTTGGAAGCTGGTTATACAGGCCAAGGGGCCTGGACTCCATTCCTGGAAGAGTAGGGAAGGTGTGAGCAAGGGAAGGCATGCACTGATTGTTGCTCTGGCAACCATGGGGGGGGGGGCAGGAGAGGGTGAAGCTGGGGCTGGGAGACTAGGGAGCAGGCCGTGTCGTCATCTCAGGGAAGGACAAGTGGATCCAGCCCCAGCGGTGGGGTGCGGAGAAGAAACAGGACACATCTCTCTTGCTTCCCAAGCAAAGCTTCTTCTGCCCCAACCAGGAGCAGAGCTGAATACATGATAAGGTGGGGGCCTCAGGGAGAGTGAGGGCTTAAGGAGGGCAGCACATGGGAACATGCTGCAGAGCGACATGAAGAAAGACCAGAGCTAGACTCCTTGAAAGACTTCCAAGAGGAACGGGTTTGAGTTTCTGAGAGAGACCAAAGAATCCTTGAGAAGAAAAGAGCCTGTCACACATCTCACACATCTGGGCATGGAGGAGACAAGCTGCCCCCCTTCAGGACCCCTGCTGCCCCAGTGGTTCCTGCCCGCCGCAGCCGTCCGGAAGACCCATCCAGGGCGCCCCTCTGAAGAGGCGCCGTATCCAGCCCCTACCCGCTACCCCCCACCCCCAAGGATAGCCTAATTTTTTCCCTTGCATGGATTTAGGTCATTGCTCCTTGTCCTCTCTCCAAGGCGACACGGAATGTGACTAATTCCCTCCCTTCATTTATGGGTCCTGTTACCTGGGAGGTATTTATAGCGCGACAGCCTCCCTCCCTCCCCAGCGACTCAGCTGCTCTCCCCCAGGCCATCTCTCTCCTACCAGGGCCAATCTTTGCTTCCCCTCTCTTCCGCCACGGCTCCAGGCTCCACCACCTCCCCGCCAGCCACCCCCTTGCCGTTCCCTCATTCCCCCGCCCCGCAGAAACAGCAGTGGGCTTGGGCTGGGAGGGAGCTGGCCCAGCACCTTGCTGAGCACAGTGCTGTCTGCAGGGGGATGCCCCTCCCCTCTTGATCACTCCAAAAAGGTGACTGAAGGGCTAGGTCAAGGACAGCAACAACTGGCTGACCTGTCTGAGATTTCACCATGCCTGGTATTTATACTGACAGTAGGTAACAACTATTCAGTGCTTACTGTATGCTAGGTATTATTATTACCTATGGTTTGCAGATAAGGAAACTGAGGCTCAGCAAGGCCAATGGACCCCCACCCCCCAGGATCTGTACAGCCGGAGTGCGGCACTCCTGCACAGCCACCCCTCAGAGTCAGGCTTGGTGTTTGGGAATCCTGGCCCCCAAAGGCGGGCTGGCTGGGGTAAGGGCTGAGAGACAGCCGAGAGTGCCCGGCCAAACTGCATCGCACAAAGCCAGCAGGGCCCCCTACCCACCACAAGTCATGGCTGACCTTCCCAGGGGTTGTCAAGGAATGGCATCAGATAGAGGCCCCTGGGGATAAGATGCTGCCTGTCCCACAGAGGTCCCTTCCTCCAGGCAGGCGGCACTGAGGAGTTGGGGTGGGAAGTCGAGAATCTAGCCCAAGAAAGAGCAGAGGGAAGCCGTGAGTCCACAGAGAACAAGTGCAGGGCGGGAAGTCAGCCCCACGCAGGACTTGGAGGCATGGAGGGCTGAGCCTGGGGGCCAGCGGCCCTTTCCCATCCCCAGTCTCACAGTGGCCCCAGGCCCTTTTCACAGCTGGCAAGACTAACAGCCTGAGAGGTGAAGATACTGGCTCAGCTTTTCCCAGGTCCTCTGACCAGAAAGTCTACAATACGGATGAGGTAGCTCTGTCAAGGTTTCTGGAGACAGGACAGACTAGAGAAAGAGGCTGAGTTCAAGTCTTAATCTCATAGTCACAAACTTATTGATACAGAGCAAGTGGCTTTACCACTCTGAAACTCAGTTTCCCCGTCTGTAAAATGGGCTGATGTCACACCTCCCACGCACCTGGTCATGAGGACTCAGAGATGTGAAGCAGGCAGAGTGCTGAGCGCCAGGCCCAGCACACGGCAGGAGCGCCGTAAAGTTGGCAGATAATACCGGGGTTTGTATTTTCCCTGCTTCTTTCTTCTCTCTCAGATCTGAGCAAAGGGGCCACATCTCTTCCCTGTGACTGAGGCTTCCTGAGGATAAGGGTTGTGTCTCCACCATCAGCTGGCTGTCCTTGGGACCAGGAGATGGCTGGGCAGGCTGCTGTCAGGAAGGAGCACTCACTGCTATTAACATTATTTTCATTATCGTCAGTATATCATCCTCTATGGCTATAGCCCCATGCACGCACCCAGCTAGGCTTTTGCCTCTTGTTTGGGGAAGCCAACCCCCCCTCACATCAAAACAAAGGCACACCACAGGTCCCACTAGAGCCCCATCAAGGAGGCCATGCTGCGTCCAGTAGCCCCCACAGAACCCCCCTCACCACCACCCTCCACCGTGGGGTGCCGGGAGCCAGCCTGGAAGAAGAAAGACACTGAGTCATTCTGATTCCCGCTTCAGGGAGCCAGAGCTGGCGGCAGCCCAGCCAGCCCCTGCGAGGGGGGAGTCAGGGGCAGAGCTAGGTCCCTGGAACTCTCCCGGCAGCCCAACCCAAGGGCTGAGCATGGCATCACCAGGAGCCAGATTTGGGAGAGAGGGTAGGGGTGGGAAATGAAGGACCCTGACAGGATAGGAAGGGCCAGTGAGAGGCATTGTGAGTGCCCCTGTGAGTGCCCCTGAGGATCTGGCACTGGGCCACGTCTCCACTACCCTGGAAGAGGGGAGCCCCAGCCAATTTACAGGTAAAGCTACAGATTCAGAGAGTTCCCGTCAACCACCAGCGATCACATAGCACCTGGTAGGCGACGCCAGGCAACATCTCAAATGCCCACAGCCCCTGATTCTCATATCTTGAGTGGACAGCCAGCTCAGGGCTTGGGTACGGGGAGTGAAAGCACCCAGCAACCCTGTCCACACTGACAGTTGGAGGGTGGGACCAGGCGTCACAGGAGATTGAGGACAGAGGTCAGGGAGCAGGACAGTGGACGTGAAGCACTCTGGGCCAGTTCTTCAGCAGGGCGGTGCAAGAGGGTGCAGCCTAGGACTGAACATCCAGGGGAGGCCTGAGTCTTCGGCCTAGCTCACCCCAAGTCTGGGCAAGTCTCAGCCTCTGAGCCTCCGTGTCCCTAGCCATGCACAACTCTGAGCTCTCCCCAGTGGCCCTGGGGCAGGCTTCACTAGGCATACCAGCAGGGTAAGAGGCTGTGGGCCCAAGACGGGTCTGCACCCAGGCTGCGGTTCCTCCCCACCCATGGGCACACGGGGTCCTCATTGAAAAAAACACGGTGTATACAAATAATTAAATGGAAGAATTGGAGTGATTAGGGCAGATGATTATTGTCAAATTATGATTTATCTTGTAGTGGAATTAGTATTCCCCCAAAGGGCCCGGCGTGGCGCGGCGCCCGCCACGGCCCGTGATTAATCGCCGTCTCCAGAAGGTCACCTCCAGCCACTGCAGATTAACTCAGTGGGGAAACTTCTTTCCGTAATTCAAGCTGTTGTTCCCACAACCTGTCATCCGCCTCGGAAAAGGACGATTTCGTCAGGGAGCCCAGGGTGGGGGGGGCCGTCCGCTCCCCCGGCCCCTCCCCGCGGCGGACATGATATATGGTGCGTCCCGACACGGGTGACCGAGGGGGGGGGGCAGCGTCCGCCGTGGGGTGAGCAGCGGGAAGCAGGAGTCGGGAGCGTGGTGGGGGACGAGGCGCCGCCAAGCAGAAGTAGGCTGTGAGGGGAGAGAGCGCACGGGTGGTGGCAATTAGGAAGAAAATTGGATTTTTCGGCGTCCAGAGGCAGCTGGGAACTGCGGCGTGAGGCGCAGCCACCACCCCTTTCCCCGACACACGCAGGCACCCAGTCCAGCCAGGCAGGGACTCCTCAGGAGGGAAGGAAGATGGGGGAAAACAGACCTCCTTCAGGAAGGAAGGTAGGAGGCACATCAACACACAGTGAAAGAACGTGGTCAGGCCTGAGGCCGGGCCCAGCAGAGCCCCCCAGTGGAGAGCCGCTTTCCTGACCTGAGAGCTAGGACCCAGATCCCGCTCCCCTGGCGGTAGACATGCCCATGTCCCTGGGGGGTTGCTAATCGTGGCCGCCTCCATCAGAGCCCAGACCTGGTCTGGAAGGGGCTCAGGACCCCGGGTCTGTCTGCCCGTGCATAGAGAACAGTGGGGACGGAAACCCCCACCCTTGCCTCCTCACCTTAGCCTTTGCCACCCCTTAGTTCCCTAAGTGGGAAGGGGATGTGAAGGAACAAGTGCCTCCACTTCCTCTGTCTCATTTACTTCCCATCCGCCTTTGCGGGGGAGGGGGAGTGTGTGCCTACAGTACAGATGAGGAGGCTGAGGGAGGGTGACTTTCTGCTCTGAAGCTGCCCTGGGTCCAAGCTCCTTCAGACTTTGCCCTCCCTGGTCCCAGCCACCCTGTTCATCCTCCCCACCTCCAGAAGCGTTCACTGTGCACTGTTCTTTCAGGCCTCCAGGCTTTGCACATTCCTGGAGGAATGTGCGTGCTTCCTGTCCCCTGCCCTCATCAGGTAAACTCCAGTTCATTCTTCTCAGTGCAACTCATTTGTCTCTCCAGGAAGAGAGTGTGCCCCAGGTCCCCTGGGAGCCCCACCCATGTGAGCTCCCACTGACCTCCTGTACCAGAGTGGGTGCTCTCTGGGGGCCTTACATGGCCATCTCTCCCCAGTGCCAGCCCAGACACAGCCTAGCAGGTACTCAGGAAGCCATGTGGAAGGAGTCAAGGGCTCAGGGGCCTCTACTCCCCACCCCACCCCCAACCCCAGCTTACCAACAGCCCAGATCTGAGGGTTGTGGGGTAGAGGACAGAGGTGGGGCCCCTGTCCAGAGGCGAGTTTTCAGTTGAGAACAGCAGCATGTATTATGTATACCGTGGTTTTCTCAGAGCATTCTCGGGTCTGAGATATTTAGAGTTGTGAAGACCCAGCACTATTTGGGAAAGAAAATATATTTCTCTCTCCCTCTCAACAGTGGGGGCAGGGGAACTACTCTCTCTCCAAAACCATTAGGACTAACCACTGGCATTTTCCTTGGGGAAGAAGGGGGCTTTCCACCCTCCCTTGGGACTGTTTGGCAGACGGCCCCCCAACTCAGTCTTTGGCTGATAGTGAGAATAAAAACTCCCATTTACACTGTATCTTACTTTCAAAATGCCCTTTGTTGTTGCACATACTGCCTTCTTCAGGGACAAGCCAGAGAAACGTGTTAACCCCATTTCACAGATGAAGAAACAGAGGGGGGGGTGGGGCTTGGGGAAGGTGGCAGGTGACTTGCCCAAAGCCAAGAGCTGTAAACAATGGAGGTGGAGGACTATTCTGGTCCCACACCCCACCCAGGCCACTTCATGGAACCATCACCTCCCCAGGTGGGGTGGGAGTAGGGTAGAGACCTGTGGCAGGACCCTCCTCCACTGCCCTCTGGTCCTAAAGCCTGGTTCAAATCCTAACCGCGCCCCCCACCAGCTGCGGGACATTGGGCAGGTCACTTCCCCTCTCCCAGACGCTCATCTGTAAAACAACTCCCAACGCTGCAGGCCTGTTGTGAGGACACAACAGGACCCGGGCCTGGCCTGGCCAACAGTAAGTGCTCAATAAATGAGTTGTGTGTGTTTGTTTTCCCTGTCCCATCACGTTGACCATGTCACTAATCTCTTGTGGAAGATGTGAGGGGATCTGAGAGCTTCCCCATGTCCCAGAGGAGGGAATTGAGTTCGAAGAGCTTCCAGCAGGTAGAGGACATTGGCACATAAATTGTCCTAAAGTCCCTCAGATTCTGTCCCTCCCCTCTCAAGAACCCTCCATTGCTCCACACTCAGGGCACACAGCACAAACGCCCAGCCAGAAGAACCTGCCAGGTTCTTCTCTATTCCTGAGACACTGCTGGTCGCTGCCTTCCAGCCTTTGCCCACACTGGTCCCTCTGCCTAGATGCCATTTCTCTGCCAGCTCCACGTTTGTTACCAAACTCTATAAAGGCTCTGCCTAAAGGCCACGCCCTCCAGGAAACCACCTCCAACCTCTAGCCCTTGAGCGGCCATGGTGGCCTGCTGGACCCCGCTGTTCCCGCCACTGACCACCGAGTCTCCCCCACGCAGGTTTCTGAACCTCCTCACGGAGTGGGCGGGGCCTTCCCACTCTGACCCCGGCTCTGGCGGGACAAACAGAGGGCGCCCAGACCCTGGGGGGTAGCCCAGCCGGCTCCCCCACACGACTCCCTCCAGCGCGGCGGCCCCGTCTTTGATCCGGCTGCCACAGCGCCCCAAACCTGATTGGCATCGAATTACGCCGCGCGGCGGAGGGAGATAATGGCGGGAGGCGCGGCAGACATGAAAGGGGGGGCGCAGCGGCAGTCCGGCCCGTTGTTAATGACCCAATAAAAAGGAAGAAGGGGGAGAAATAACCCTCCCTTCCATCCCCGCCCCCAAGACAGCGGCCGGTGCACACAAAGCCGCAGCCGACTCGGAAATTATCGCGGCTCAGCCCAGCGCAGCGTGACTGGAGGGGGGTGGGCTCACCTGGCAGGGCGCGGGAGGGAGGGCACACAATTACAGCCACGCTCGCAGTCGCGCAGTCAGGCACACAGACTTACCCTGGCTTTAATATGTTTATACCTTTTTCATCATGGATTTTTGCTTTAATTGTGATTTTTAAAAAATATATTACACTAAAATAATTTTCCTGAAGACTGAAAAATTTTGTGCCCACCCTAGTCCGAGCTCCGAAACAGTCACACAGCATGGTTCAGGGACACACACACACACTGTCTCACATACACACACACAGAGTCAAAACGGTCTCGCGCACAGTCACACACACAGTACAGACACCACAGACACCCACCCCATCACACACGCTGTCACACCGAAAGTCACTTGCAGAAACAGACATGGAACCACATGGACCCACACACCCAGCACAGCCTGTGGAGAGGCTCACATAGAGACACGCCCAGGAGCTGGGGCAGAGACAGACTTATGGATACACACACACACACACTGAGATGAATGAGGAGCAAGCTCACAGGGACATGCAAACACATCACACAGTCTGTGTGGAGACAGACAAACACGGAGATCTACAGACGAATACAAACATGCAGACACACAAACCATACCGTGCCCCAAAGTCACCCACACAAAAACAGGCCTGGGTCACAGGGGCTTACCCAGTAACACAGACATCTGAGCACAAATCACCACCCACTTCCTGTGAGCTCTGGGACACACCCCATGCCCTCAAAGCCACCCATTTCACATCCTCATGGGTGTTCAAGCATGTTCAAGTGAGTTTGGAAGGGCCAAAGGCTGGGTTCGTCCACCACAGAGATGAAGGGGAGTCACTAGCCACAGAGGCCGGAAACGTGGCGATGCTGAAAGGAATAGGTTGGGGCAGATGGCTTGTACCATCAGAATATCAGGTTTTTTCACATCTAAAATGGGGTTCAACTCTTCTCCCATGGGGCCGTGTGAGCCAAGAGGCATAGCCAAACACTAAATGTTGGCTACCATTACCATGTGAACCCTTTTAGGGACAGCCCAGACTCTCCATGCACATCTCCCCACCACACGCACACGCGCACACACACACACACACACTTCTCTTGGCTCCCAATCCCTTTACTGCCAGGGAGGTCCCTCTTAAATCTAATCCAAATCCCTCATGCTGTAAACTAACCCCAGTTCTGGGAATGGAGAGGGCTAGCCTCTCCAACGAGCTTCTTGTCCTCCAAAACACAGCAATCTGAGCACCAGGCGTCCTGGGAGCCAGATGGGGTTTCATCATGGGGTCAGGCCCCTGGGTCAGGCATGCTTTGCTGTCTGATTTCAAATACCAGCTCCACCAAGAACCAGGTGTATAACTTAGGCAAGGACCTTTCTAAGCCTTGGTTGCCTCCACTGTCAAACAGGTTAACAGCGTCAGCATCCAACACAGGAAGCTGCTTGGAGGATAAAATTGCTATCAGGCTGAGCTCTTGGACCATGGCTGGAGCTACTAGTCCATGTTGGGGTCAGAGGTGAGAGGTCAGGGTGCATACTCTTCCCCGCATATCAGGACAAAGGTCCTCACAGCAGCTCCTTCTTAGGTGGACAAGGGGACTTTATGAGCCAAATCTCAGGGCCTAATTAATGCAATTAATCACAGGCCCAGCCACATAGGCCATGGGGACATGGGGTCACAGTCAGCTCAGTTACCCAAAAGGATGGAGGGGCAAGAAACAAAATTCTCAGTGGCCTCTCCTTCTCCCATCACCCTGAACTGAGGCTCTCCCAGCCCCTGTTCACTGGGGAAGTCCCTTCTCATATCTAAATCTAGTTTCTCTTGCTACAGCTCAAGAATTACAAGGGATCTGCAATCAAGGTCCTGGATGTCCCTTGCTAGACAAGAAGGCTGAGACAGTCTCGCAGTATCTAGGCTGTGTAATGCCGGGTTTGGTGATGGTGTGGGTGGGTTGAGGGAAAACCTGTCAGAGCCCAGTGTCTGCCCTGGAAGAAGGGCAAAAATAAAGGAGCTGGTGGTCAGGAGGGAAAGGCCTCCCTCTCCAAGGGAGCTGTGTGTGTGAACCTGTGTGAGGAGGATGTGGGGAGGGGGTGGCCAAAGGCTCTGGCCTGGGCTGCAGCAGGAGGGGGCAGCCCACTCGGGCAGGGGCGCTGCCGGTTATAAATCACCCTCGACTCAATTAGAGCCTGTGAAAGGTTGTGCACACCCAGCAGAAAGTGCTGCGCTTGGCGGGCAGCCAGTTCCCTGCTGGGGGGTGAGGGCAAGAGAGCTGGCGTGTGTCTGTGTGCGTGGACATGTGTGTGTGACTAACAGTGCACATGTGCTTGTGCTTTGTATGTGCGTGTCCCTGTTTGTTCCTGTCTGTCCTAGTATGCCTGCGTGTGGACAGCACATAAGCCTGAATATGCCTGTGTGCAATTTGCTTACATGTCCCTGTGTTTGTCCCTGAGTGTGTATGCACCTGTTTGTACAGATTTGGGCTGTGTGTGCACCTAGGTGTGTGTGGATGTTGATGTAGATGTCCTCTTGCCTGTGTGCACCCAAGTGTGTCTGCACAGTTGTGTCTCACCACCACGGTGTGTGTCACCTTGCCTGTGCACACCAAGTGTGAGTGGGCATGTTTGTGACTGATGAGTTGAGCTGGATATTGGGGTGGAGCTAGGGGTGTTCCGGTGGGAGGGAGAGCTCCATGTATTTGAGGGGAGCCATGAATGAAGGAAATTATGGGCAGGCAGCAAGAAAGTGACAGCCAACTCAGGCCAGTTGCGAGAGGCTGTGACAGGGAGGGAACCAAGCTTTCAGGAGCGTGGGGGTCTGTGCAGTTCAGAGGACCTGCCGAGATTCACCACCTCCAACCCTTGGTAGAGCGTCTGGACACCAGCCATGCACACTAGTGTGGCCATCCTAGTGAGGAACCCTAGGGTTCCTTGCTCCCTTCCTCTCTAAATAACTAATGGTGATGAGCAGACACCATGGGTCAGGCCCTGGGTTAAATCTGACATCTGGATTATCTCAGTGAAACTTCACAGATGCACTAAGAAGCATGTACTATTAGAATTCCCACTTTACAGGTACGAAAACTGAGGCTCATTGATTTGCTCACAGTTAATAAAACAATAAAACCAGAGTCTGATCCTGGGTTTGTCTGATTCCAAAGGTCTTGCCGCATTCATTACTGCCTCCCCATGGATCCCTAGGGGTCACACTCTGCGGGGGAGGGGAACCTATGTGAGCTTGTGTGGGTAGGTGAGTATGCCTCCCCATCTGCCTGAGCACTCTCTGAACCCCAGGTTTCCATGCCCCCAGTGTCAACACATAGTAAATGCCAAAGAAATATCTATTTGTTGAAGGGAGTAGAGAGCCAAGACATCCTCTTCCTTATGCTAAGAAAAGCTGGCAAAGGTGTTGAGGCAGGGAGATGCCTGTGACCCACCCCACAAATCTTGGCTATCTCTGCTCACCTCCCAGGGAGGAGGTGCTCCCCTGAACCCCAGAGAGGGCTGGAGAGTAGGGACTGAGGGTTTTGCAGAGTCAGGCTGTTCCCTGCCTCAACTTCACCCACACTCAGAGGCTGGACCACCTGGATGTGTCTTTAGACCAATACTATGTCTCACCTGTCCCCTCTCTACCCAAGCCACAAAGACTTTCAGGAAAAGATGGGGTCCTGAATCAGGACCCCCATGGGACAGGTCTGCACAGGCACCATTAACCAGGAGTGAGTTTGGGACCCCTGACTCAGTTTTCCCCATCTACAATGGTATTTCTCTGAGGAGGAGTGTGGGCGATCTAAACTACTCAGTCCTGGGCCTCGTTGTACAGCCTGGAGACCCCAGCCATGGATATGGCCCCCAGGCCCCAAGTCCAGCAGCCTGCCCTTCACGGAGGGTAGAATGCAAACCCTTGATGGGTTCAGCTTCTCTACTGTCCCAGACACCAAGAGGCCCTCCCTCCCCAGCCTTCTGGGAGACCCCCCACCCTGAACCATGTTCTACTCCCATTTATTGACCAGGTGCCAGGAGTGGGAGGTGGGTGGGCCTCCCTCAAGGCAGCCTCCAGGAAGGAGGAAGCCTAGCCATGTGCCAAACCGTCACCCTGCATCTTCTGCAGGCCCCTGCAGGCCCCACATCTGGAACCATTTCAGGCATGGGACTGAGCTGCCCCTCCTTTGATGGCGGGGCTGTGGGGAAGGGTCATGCCCTTTGGGGGGGTCGGAGGGTCACAATGCTTGGATGACACCCCTCCTGAGGATAGGAAAACAGAGGTAGGGGCGGTGAGGGGAACAGAAATGGCAGGATGAAGTTGAGGAATTTATGTCATGATGCAGGGACCTGTAGGATCTGGGGACTCTGGAAAGGATCCAGAAGGTGACCAGCATTTTAATTCTGGAGGAAAGGGCAGGCCAAGCATCACTGTCACCAAGCCTCAGTTTTCCCATTGGGAAAATGGGAATATTATTTCCCAGACGGGATCCTGGGGAAGGATCTACAGTGAGAGACTGTTTTAAGCATGGGACCAGGATATCAGTAATGCTCAGTACAGGGTAGTAGCTGCTGTTGTTGTTATTATCATTATTTTGTTTCAAATAGCTGCTTCCCACCAAAACTCTCAATCCAGCTGAAGAAATCGGATGAACAGTCCCAAATCAGTCAGGCTCTGTAGAATCGGACTCTGGGTTGTTGGGAAGGGAAGATCCTGGAGGGCTGGGCAGTCAGGAACCACCTCCCAGAGGAAATAGCCCGAGGATGAACTTCAGAGATGGGAGAGCCAGGCAAGGCAGAGTGGAAGGGACGGTGTCCCAGAGGGCAGATGGGCTGCAGCCAAGCCCTGAAGACAGGAGGGAGCTCTGCAGGGCAGATGGCGGCTGACTGTGTGGGGAGTAGGGAGCTGGACTGACTTATTCTGGGGAGTTGAAGAGAAGGCACCTGATCCTAGCTGCACCTCTATGGAAGAGCTCTGCCCTGAGGCCCACCCCACCCCCACTTGCACTGCATCCCTAGAAACCCCTTAGGATTTGCAGGGGACCACTGACAGGCACCCTGATGTATTCCCTCCACCCAGGTCTCTGAGAAATCAGGTGGCTGCTCTCTCCTCTGTTTATTTATTCCCCTGCCCCCCCCCCCTTTCAGGAGACGATAATTATTCAGATCATCGCGGTGATTTACTCAGCAATCAGAGCCGCTCGATGCGGTGGCCCGGGAGCTGAGACAGACGAGCATGGCCAAGGAGGACAAGGCGGGGGGCCTCAAACCCCCTACCTCACAGCGGCCTGGCCGGCCTTTGTTCTCTTCGAGGTCTGCACCCGCGCTTCCTGGCGGGCAGTGGAGGCGCCCACCCGCCCTGACACATCAGCAAGCTAGGAGTCTCAGGGGCAAGTGTGCACATGTGTGCGTCCTGGGGAGGGAGGCGCTGGCCCGAGAATGGTGGAACTCCTGTGTCCATGTTTGGGGGCGGGGCGTTGGTGGTGGTTGAGAGTGTACCAATACATGAACATAGAGGTCAGGGGTGTAATCGTAATGTATGCACCTGTGTGATTGCCTGAGGCCTGGGGTACATCTGTCTCTGCAGGTGTCTGTCAGAAGTGTGGTTGGCAGGTGCCCAAACACTTGTATTTTAGGTACATAGCAGAGAGGAACGAAGACTGGGTTCCTGTGCTGAAGCTCTCTTAGGTGACCACGGATGGAACAGAGGCTAGGTTCTACCCTGGTCTCCCTGATCCCGCCGGGGATGGGAGGGAGACAGACGGTGATCAAGCTCAACCCAAATGCCGAGTTCTCCTGGGTCGGTGCTGGGACCCCGGGGGTCACGTGGGTATGGGTGTGGCTGCGTTCGCAGCTGTGATGCACACGAGTGCCCGCAGGCCTTCACCCCTCCTGCCCGCGGGCTGGCGCGGTGACGGTGACCTCATTACCGCCTCCGCAGAGGCCCCTTGAAATCCCTGCGCCGTCGCATTTGGCTGCTCTAAGTGATGGGAACGGCCTGCGCTTCCTGATCAATCGCTTAAAATTCAGGGTCGGCTCGCTTGCCGGAGAGGGCTGCCTGCCAGCCCCACGCACCGCGCTCTGCCGCCTCCCCCCACACCCCCTCCTCGCTTTGAGGTGGGGGGGGGCTGCGATACTGCCGTATTGGAAAACATCCCCGCGCTGGCTGGGGGGCCCGGTGGGGCCAGCGCTGGAAGCCGTTCCACTCGAGCAGATGGCTGTGAAACTTTGGCGGCGAGATAAATTGGGTCTGACGGCGTGAGGCCGGCTCACAGATGGGCGGGATTCTCACGCCGGCCCCCACGTCCGGCTCGGCCGCGGGCAGGGCCGGCGCCGCTCAGAGCCCCCTTTGGGCACCCGCCCGGCCAGCAAAAACCTTCGGGAGGCCACTAATCCGCCAACATCCTCTCTCTGCCGGAGGCGCCCTCCGTCGCACTCCTTCCGGTCCCAGATCTCCCCAGAGAGGAGTCCAGAGGGAGGGGCAGCCCACAGCCCCCGCCTGGTCACCTCCGCCAAGCTGGCAGCTGGGCTTTCCCCCTCCTCTGCCATCCGCAGAGGCCTGAAGCGTGAAGGTTAACAGCTGGGGGGGAGGCTGCGTCTCCCTCTTTCACCTCTATCTGCTGCAGCCCCGCCCACCTGCCAGCCCTGGGGATGTCGTAAACAGGGCTGTGAGGTGTGTGTTGGGGGGGCGGGGGCGCGGGTGGAAGGCTGAAGGGAGGGAGAGAAGAGAGAGCCAGACAAAGAGAGAAAGCAAAAATGAGCAAGAGGCAGGAGAGACCTAAGCAGAGACAGAAGGACAGAGACTGCAAGAGACAGAGACAGCCAGGGAAAGAAATGGAGACGGAAATGTAGAGATAGACACAGAGACACCCACATGGAGAGGAGGGAGGGAACTCAGAGGCAGAGAGGAAACACACAAAGAGAGTGGGAGGAAGGCGAAGGAGAGCACGAGGGGACAAGATACAGGCGGGAACAGCCTTGAGCTGCAGGTGAT